CAGAGCTAAGAAAGGGGGGCCGCGCGTGACTAAAAACGACGTCAACTATTTTAATTTTCTGACGGAAGGCCCCCTCAGCGACCCGCCCACAAATGACAGCTCAACGACGCCGGCCCCCCCCCTTATCGTGTGGGGCTCTTATTCTTGGTCCTTTCGGTAAAAGTCACCACCAAGTAGAAGGGGGAGCAATGCAATAATAAAAAATATATAAAACAATAAAAATTCTCACGACGTTTCGACCGCTTACACGAGCAATCGTCGTCAGGTGTGAAGACCCACAGCAAGAACATTTGAAAAAAGTGGGACTCTCTCGCAGCCAAAGCCATCTCAACGCAGGGATTAACACGGACGGCTACGCTGGGGCGAGGTGGTGGGTTGTAAGGTGGGGGGATGGGGAAGGGGAAGCGGGCTTGTGGAGACGATTGCTCTACGCGCAGCGGGAGTCGGTTCCCAGTGACGGAGAAGTGAAGCGTTTCGAGAGCGCCACCGAGCTGTGGGTGGACCCTGGATAGTCGAGCCGCAAGGGGGCGGCAGTCGGTGACTTTGATCTCCGATGGAATTGACGTAAATGGTTCAAATCCGCGATGCGAAACCCCCTCGATGAGCAAGGATTTGTCTGCACATTGCAAATGACGGTGTTCGCGATTTATATGTTGACTTTGATGACGGTCATCGATGTAAGTGTTTGATGTTGATGACGACGATAATGATGCATGAGTTGGTTTTGACTATTACGATGATTCTAGATTTAAAGCTTTCGTGACTGCTAGGATCCATACTCTTTGGTTCTATTGGGTAAAGTCACGTAGGTGAAAATAAAATAGAACCAAAGAGTATTACGATGATGATCATGTTGGTGATGAAGTGACGATATTGATTTGCTGCTGTAATTAGCAACTGCATGGGGGACACAGGACAATACGCAAAGGACATGGGGAGACATGGCTGCTGTAATGTAGCTACTGCATGGCAGACTGTTGCTGCACAGCCTACACATCTGGCAGCAATGCAATGAACGAGGGAAGCACAAAGTGTATCGGTGTCAACAAGGAGTCGCTGTCGGTTCTTGTATGCAGCAGCCTGCCATGCAGTTGGGTGCACGTGTGGTGACTAGCTCGCAGACAGTACGACTTGGAGGCACTTCTTTATTTAACAAGCACCATCGGGATAATGCACTCATTGTTAAGGCAGTCCATTGTCGGCGCAAATACTTAGCTAGAACAAAGGTCTTGGGTTCTCCGGTAAATATTCTTTGTTTTTTTTTCGGTAAAGTTACGTAGAATTAATAAAATAACATAATAGTGCATGACGTTTCGATTGCAACACAAGCAATCATCATCAGGTACAGAAGAGCTAAATTTACGAGAAAGAGGAGACACATAACCGCAGATATATATACAGACACAACAGGGGATACAGAGAGAGAGAAACGTGGGAGCACACTAAATCAAACAGGTTTTAGCAAGATTTGGAAACCATATAACGCAACACAGACGGTCGGTCAAAACACTTATTAACGCAAGGTCAGGTTGATTACGTTATTTCAAAGATTGCTAAGTTGCAAGTTAAGTGTGAAATTTAAAATAAAAAAAATATACAGACCGGTAAAGTCATCACGTAGGTGAAAAATAAAATAAATCACGACGTTTCGATCACAGCACCAACAAGCGGTCATCATCAAGGGGGGAAAAAAATACAATCCGGCAGTGGAACTGCTGAACCAGCGAGAGAGCTGTTACAACAAGGAGGTTATTTATGCGACCTTGTTGTGACTCGTACATTCTAGTTTTTTTTTCCCGCCTGACGACAACCGCTTAATGTGCTGCGATCGAAACGTCGTGGTTTATTTTATTTTCCACCTACGTGATGACTTTACCGAGAGAACCACAGTGTGTGGATTCCTGTGGTCACGAAAGCTTCAAATCAAGATTGGTTAGAACAATCGGTAGGCCGCTTGACCAGCGGCGCCCCGGGATGGTGAAGACGACAATCGGTAGGCCGCCTGACTAGCGACGCCCCGGGATGATGGTGAAGACGACAATCGGTAGGCCGCCTGACTAGCGACGCCGCGGGATGATTGTGAAGACGACAATCGGTAGGCCGCCTGACCAGCGACGCCACGGGATGATTGTGAAGACGACAGTCGGTAGGCCACCTGACCAGCGACGCCGCGGGATGATTGTGAAGACGACAGTCGGTAGGCCACCTGACTAGCGACGCCGCGGGATGATTGTGAAGACGACAATCGGTAGGCCACCTGACCAGCGACGCCACGGGATGATTGTGAAGACGACAATCGGTAGGCCACCTGACCAGCGACGCCCCGGGATGGTGAAGACGACAGTTGGTAGGCCGCCTGACTAGCGACGCCCCGGGATGATTGTAAAGACGACAGTTGGTAGGCCGCCTGACCAGCGACGCCCCGGGATGATGGTGAAGACGACAATCGGTAGGCCGCCTGACTAGCGACGCCCCGGGATGGTGAAGACGACAATCGGTAGGCCACCTGACCAGCGGCGCCGCGGGATGATGGTGAAGACGACAGTTGGTAGGCCGCCTGACCAGCGACGCCGCGGGATGATGGTGAAGACGACAATCGGTAGGCCACCTGACCAGCGGCGCCCCGGGATGATTGTGAAGACGAAGACGACGACGAGAAGAACGGTGGCGATGGATTTGAGCGGCATGACGGGGATCGTCCCACTTTACAGCGGCAGCCACGAGGTCCCCCACAGGGGCCCCTCTTATACTGTCAGCGTGGCCTCGCTCCACCCCCGGCCACGCCCCCTTTCTGGAACCTCCCGGCGTGATCCTGGTGGGGACCCTTCTGTGACCTTTCCCCCCTAGACCAGCGGTGGGCAAATTTTTTGACTCGCGGGCCACAATGGGTTCTAAAATTTGACAGAGGGGCCGGGCCAGGAACAGATGGATGGAGCGTTTGTGTGAACTAAATATAAATGACGTGTTAAAAATCATTACATGAAAGTATTTGGCCTTTAACAGGTAGCGAAGCATTTATTTGCAAGGCAATTTAACAAATTGCACGAACATGAACGATACAAAAACATGTCGTAACTCCCGGTCAAAGTGCGCCATCTAATGGGGAAATGGGGGCATTACAGGAGAAAGGTAAAATTTAATTTAATAATAATATTTGCACAAGTTCGGCGCGCCGGATTAAAAAGCCCAACGGGCCGTACACGGCCCGGGGGGCCGTACTTTGCCCATGTCTGCCCTAGATCCCCCTCTCGCGCGTATATCACGGACTGCCGATGTCAGAACTGCCGTTCGCCGCATATCCCCTTTTTCGCCAGCAGCCAGCGCTATGCCACTACGCATGCGTGGCGGGCTGTATGCAATTTGCTGTTCTTTGTTGTGTTATAAATGCGAGTCTTTGGGACAACTTTGAGTCGAGTTTTTTTTTTGTCAAATTTCCTGCCTCCTTATTGGGCATCCAGAGTTCTCCACCCCCTGCCCCTCACCAGGAAGAAAAAAAAAACAGTCCACATTGTATGAGAGGAAAATTTTGGATTTATTGTTTTTATTTGCATAGGACATTTGCAGTGCAGAAGTTGTACAGAACCCCAATCCCCCCCCACCCCCCCCCCCCCCCCCCCCCCCCCCCAACGTTGCTTAACACTATGCCCGGAGAATGGATACAGCAGATTCATATTGACGATTAAGCAGACGTTGTGATGCTCTGGGCTTAGGCAGGACGTGGCAGTGCATTGAAGGAAGAACATGGTGCATTGGAGATGATAGCAGTACATTGTAGAGAACAGGAAAGATTTGGCGAAGTGAATGGGTGGCCGCTTGTGTGCAAAACAAAAGCCTCACAGCTGAGCCAACAGTTCGGCTTCCTGATGGTCATCCGCTGTCCTTGCCGACAGCGGATGACCATCATTAACGGGCATGAGACCATCACATGGACTGTGTGGATATTTTATGCATGAATTGGAGCATCAAGGACACATCACGGTGTGGGTGTGTGATGAACAAACTTTCAAGTGATGAGAGCCAGTTAACCATTCGCTGTTACTATTAGATTGACTGGCTTACACAACTTAATACCGAACTGTTATACGTTGCTATTCCTCCTTGTGACATGCCCATTGTAGAAAGCCACGAGCTCCGTTGTGTTAACAGAACCAAACCGACTATTAACTCGTAATTGCTGTCCCTGAATTGGGAAACATGGAATATCGAGGGGTTATGAAATCTGTACAAATCTTGCAAGTGTAGGTGTATGCGTTTGCCTCTATATGCTAATGTACAAATATTTGCTAATGATTTATAATTTCCACATCTGATCCACGTTGGCGAGATAAATTGTTAATTCAAATGTTTGTATTATATTTGTATTGAACACGTATATTGTGGTGGCAGAGCAGTGGTGCAGTTGTCTGGATTGACAAACGGGCTGTAATTTATCGCTATTATCACCTCATCCGGTCAACGGTGGTGAATCTTTGCTGATTTAATCTGTGCTACATATCGAGTAGTAGAAGAGATTAGTGAAGTCTAGAGTTGTCCTTGCTGCGGCCTTGCTCAAAGATAGAGGTGTGGTGTCTGTTATGAACCTAAAAAGAGAACCAGTAATCTGCTGTAAGAAGGAATAACCCTGAATATGCCCAGTCTTGTCACATCTCCGAAGCTAAGTGGAGTCGGGCCCGCTTAGTCTCTTGATTGGTCAGTGCCAAGTTCTGCCAGGTATTGTAGGTTTGGGGCTGTGTGGTGTGACCAGATGCTAGTGCTGTTGTGTCACCCCCGCATGCATGCATTTGTGTTGTTTTCTGGGTTCTCCGCATTCTGCTCACACGAAGCCAAACTCATTAATGCAATTGGGAATTTCAGTACAGCAGAATCATCCTCCTGAGTCCTCAGACTCGGTGCATCTTTTCTGGATAAAGAATTGGCATTTTATTATTATTTTTATTACGCAAGTGCTGAGTGTAGTCCCTTTGGATGTACGTGTGGTTTGTTTTCTTCCGGATTTTCCAATTTCCTCCCACATTAAGTGCAATTCTCACGATTGGAATCTTCCTCGGAGTGTACCCGAGGCTGGTGCAGTTGTCGCCACGGACTGTAGCAATATCTGAGTGGCGGATGGTGGGGTTATGTTTAATAGTGCGGTGGTGCGGGGGAAGGGGAGTCACACTTGCAGCTCAGGTGACCAAAAGCCCCGTGCATCGGTGGGCTGAGATGTGTTTTTAGTTCTGCAATTTATTTAAGTCGTTATCACTCCTATGAAAGTGCCATGCTTATTTCTATGTCTCTAGGAGCAAAACTTTATGATCACTATGTTACATTACATATTCCACTGCAGGACGATCCATTTATAGTAAACCCACTAAAATAATATGGAGAAATCATACGCAAAACAACATTATTTCAAAGCCTCTACATATCTCCCACCAATCTCAATACAATGATGACATTTTAACACTATCCTCTGCCGGATATGGAGCCATCGCTATCACAATATTCGATCACGTTTGAGAAGTGATCGAATATTGGAGTGTCTATAAATGGACCACCCTGTATATTATTATAAGTGCAGATGCTTTTGCTGTTGGTGGAGGACGTGATTGTGGTTCATGTTGCCAGTCGTAATGCGTCATCAATGTGTTTTGTGGTGGCGGTGGTGGTGGCTGTTGTGGTTGCATCGTTTGTTCCGTTTGCATCGATTTACGATGACGGTTATCGTGACAGCATTGTTGATAATGGTAGTTGCTGTTCTGGTTGTATCAGCGCCTCTTGGTTTTATCGATGATGAGACTCATGATGACGATGTCGCTGGTGAGAGGTATTATAGCTACCAAATTTCTGGTCGACCTTCCGGAACATGTAGGGAACTGTTGGCTGCTCCCTCAGTCAGCCACACCTCCTGCTGACAGGCCCCAGCTACTCATCTGCCAATTCCACTCCTAACATGAGTTAAGCATGAGGCGTGGAAATATAAAATATTGACAAGATCCCAATGTTCACAAATGCTCCTTCAGCACACCGGGACAGCCTTTCTGAAACCATCCCTGCCAAACGAGGACGTTTGGTTGCTTTAGGTGATACTGGTGGTGATGGCAAATCTGTCCGGAAAAGACCATGCGGTCTGATGACGTTTGCACAGATGACGATGAGGAGGGTCTTCGATGATGAAGTGTCTATTGTGACAGGCATTACCCTTGTTGGCTGCGGTAGCAGCGGGCTCTGGTTACTCGAGTAATTTGCTGGTGACAGGTGCGATGCGAGATTTGCCAAATGTTTTTCTTTTTTTGTCATTGCCGATGTGGGCTGATATTTCTGCAGCTGCTGCTGATGCTGCTGATGCTGCTGCTGCTGATGTTTCCATTGCTGCGTGAATTGCTTCAGCACGGAGGTGTTCAGAAAGACTTGCGGAGGTCCAAGTGCGGGTAGTAGATTCCCCATGGGATCTTCAGCACTTTGTAGGCATCGCCTCTGTTCTTGAAGTATCTCACGAGAGCCTGTGATTGTTGGACAAAAGTATGTGTGAGGTTGGGGGGGGGGGGTGAGGTAACATAGACGGAAACAATCAGCCATATTTAGCCTCATCCACAAGTATGCATGCACATGCTTTTTGGGTTTAGTTGGTTGGCCTTTCCGCATGTCTCCGATGAGCACAGTTGGCTACTTACATAAAGGAGAAGTTCACACTGGAATTGCAATCCAAATGGGTACAGCACAGTCAATCGATAATTGGGTCACATATGGTACATTTAAAAACGTCTATCCAGCGTGGAAGAATAGGCCAACATACTTCAGTTCAGTTCCATTTATGTTGGTGTAGCCCTGTGAGCCATTCGGCTCTTGAATCGGGTGCAACCACAACAAACAAAAACACAAAAACATGAACAAGAAAAACTTCTTAAAGTGACTTTGTGTGACTGTGCAAACAGAAAATCCAGGAAAAAACATCAAAATATTCCTGAAAAAGCACCGTACACCAACGCTGTGTGCAAAAAACCCCAGTGGGATGCAAGTCAAACAACAACAACCACAAGACAACTAAGACTAAGGCCATCAGTCTAACTCCGTACTACAACAACAACCACAAGACAACTTAGATTAAGGCCATCAGTCTAACTCCGTACTACAACAACAACCACAAGACAACTTAGATTAAGGCCATCAGTCTAACTCCGTACTACAACAACAACCACAAGACAACTTAGATTAAGGCCATCAGTCTAACTCCGTACTACAACAACAACCACAAGACAACTTTAGATTAAGGCCATCAGTCTAACTCCGTACTACAACAACAACCACAAGACAACTTAGATTAAGGCCATCAGTCTAACTCCGTACTACAACAACAACCACAAGACAACTTAGATTAAGGCCATCAGTCTAACTCCGTACTACAACAACAACCACAAGACAACTTAGATTAAGGCCATCAGTCTAACTCCGTACTACAACAACAACCACAAGACAACTTAGATTAAGGCCATCAGTCTAACTTCGTACTACAATAAACGAAAACATGGCCAAACCAAAAAACGTTTTCGAAATCACCAAAATAAAGCCACAAATGCAATGTAACAGTGATCACAGGGACTGTGACCGAATTTTTTAAACAATAAACGACATAAATAACATGTAACATAAATAACATGTACTCCCCAGAGGTACAGTCTAAAGCTCCCCCTAGTGGAAGCTCTTCCATCAACAGTGGCTTGAACAAACAGCTTTCAAAGCTGTGCACTTTAACGCTTATTTTTGTATTTTTGTAAGACATCAAATACTATACAGGACGAAATAATGACCGGGCATGTTGCCGTACCAGCACGATGTAGGCGATGATCAGGGCCAAGAGAATGAGGCAGCAGAGGGCGATGATGAAGTAGACCCAGTATGATAGGGACCTGTTCGGACTTGAACTTGTATTCATATTCGTGTAGTACAGCTCCTCCTTGTCAACTGCACCGACACACGCCGCAGACAATTTTAGCCACGGTTCATAATCCTCTTCTGGTTCGTTCGGTAAAGTCACGTAGAAGGGAAACAATAAAATAATAACAATATATAAAACAATAAAATGATCACGACTGTGGTTTTCACACCTGATGATGATTGCTTGTGTTGCAGTCGAAACGTCGTGAGGATTTTTTTTAATCATTTTATTGTTTCCCTTCTTCGTGACTTTACCGAAAGAACTAAGAATATGAATCCCTGCAGTCACGAAAGCTTTAAATAAATAAAAAAATAATATATCACGATGTTTCCATCGCAACACCACAAGCGGTCGTCCTCAGGCGAGAAAAATAACCCAGCAATGGAACTGCTGAACCAGCGAGAGAGCCGTTACAACACGAGGTTATTTATGCGACCTTGTAACTCACGTGTATAACGTCTTGTTGTTGTAACAGCTCTCTCGCTAGTTCAGCAGTTCAACTGCTGGACCAGCGAGAGAGCCGTTACAGCACGAGGTTATTTATGTGACCTTGTTGTAACTCACGTGTATAACCTCTTGTTGTTGTAACAGCTCTCTCGCTGGTTCAGCAGTGAGAGAGCCGTTACAACACGAGGTTATTTATGTGACCTTGTTGTAACTGACGTGTATAACCTCCTTGTTGTAACGGCTCTCTCGCTAGTTCAGCAGTTCAACTGCTGGACCAGCGAGAGAGCCGTTACAACACGAGGTTATTTATGTGACCTTGTTGTAACTCACGTGTATAACCTCCTTGTTGTAACAGCTCTCTCGCTGGTTCAGCAGTTACACTGCTGGATTATTTTTTTCCGCCTGAGGACAACCGGTTGTGTTGCGATCGAAACGTCGTGATTTTTATTTTATTTCGTTTTATTTTTTTTATTTTATGATTTCCCTTCTGCGTGACTTTACCGAAAGAACCAAGAAGATTATTATCTTTTTGTTTTATTTAAAATTTTCTACCCACGTGACTTTACCGAAAGAACCAAAGAGTATGGATTTCTGCAGTCACGAAAGCTTCAAATCAGATGTTTGTCCGTGCATTGTATAGGTGTGGGCTAATGCAGGTCTGTGTTGTCAACAGAGGGCAATGCTTGAAAAGAAATCATTGCACAGTAATTTATGCTCTTAGATATGTTTCGCCTGCCTTCACCAATAAACACCACGATGTGATGTGTTTTTTCACAAACCAGGGTCCACGTTAAAAAAAAAACACATTTAAAGAATAAAATGAGCAACGATTATCAGGATACATAAAACCTCGTTATTTCGGTATTTGATCATTCATAATTTGGGATAATTCGTCACGGCTGCACCACGCATATATTTAGTGTTTATTAGTAATTCACCATGAGCCGAATTGCCGTACCGAATGGTCCAATTTCGGTGTACACGTGGAGCGATGCAGCGCCGCACTACCAAAACAACGACTCAGTCTAGTGGCGGTGCGCGTGGTGAGCGTGAGTGCAGACCTGTTGCTTTGGACCTTTACCTTGCTGGTGCACTCTGTGCAAGCCACAACCCTCTCAGAAATGTCGTCTACACCTACATCAAGAAGTAATGGAAAGGGACTGAAGCATCAATCGCTTAGTCTGCGAGACAAATCCCAAGTTTTGGATCGAATTCATGCAGGTGTGTCAATGTGTATGGTGTGTGAAGAGTTTAGAGAACACATTTGGATTTTTTTGTGTTATTGGGGCAGGAAACATTGTACATAATTTGGAATATTGGCTAATTTGGCAAGGCCAGAGCCCCATGTCTCGAATTAAGAAGGGTTTACTATATAAAGATATTTAGCAAAACAAACGATATGGTTATGCATCTTAAGTCATATAATTCTTTTTCATCATAGTTGTTGAGCACATGCCCAAAACTCCAACAGACAATCAAGAATCAGCACTGCTAAAATTGTAATAGATAAGAGCTAGCACTTTTTGTTTTTGTAATTCAGCAAATTACAAGAACGCGTGTGTAAAGAGACGATGGCGAATTATAAATTTGAGCAGTCCGACGAAAGAAACAGAAAGATATGTAAGTGTTGTCACCTGGAGTATGGTGGATGAGAATGATATGGAAGGAAGAGACAAAACAGCCATTCTGGTCGGAGTAGTAGTGATAGCAGAGCGACACGGAGGAAACTAACCGGTGTTGAGCAAGTGTCGAGGCAACCCTACCCAGGAATTGTAACCCTGTAGGTTGAGACGATGGGCCCCATGCCAATCCTCTGTACTCACCATACACCTTGAGGCTGTCGGGCCGTAGCTTGTACGGTCCCAGGTAGGTCATGTTAGTGGTTCCTTTGGTGAACTCTTTCATCAGCGTGGGCACGTTCTCACCACCGTTCTTTAGGAAGTAGCATTTGCCCTCCACAGTAATGGAGCCGATCCTGCAATGAGAGAATCAGAGCTGCTTCTATAAAGTCGAGTAATGGTCAAAAAGTGTACAGTCCACTGCTCGCAGAAGGGACCTCCACTTTATCCCACCACACGCATCCTGATGGCCAACTGTGTTGTACCCATTTATACTGATTGGGGGGGTATTTATACTGATTGGGGGGGGGGGGGGTATTTAAACATTGGGAAAAATAAAATCTAATATCCTCCGCGCAACCCAAGAAAGGGTTTTGATAATCTGATCTATGGTTGAAGTAACAATCTCCAGGACATTAGTCACTTCTGTGGCTGAACTATTCTCTTTTATCGGTGGGTTTGTGGTTTGAGCTCCTTGGCTGCCGTGGATGTATGTACGTTGAACTTCTTTCACACCGTACGTAGCCAACCGTGCTAATCGGAGTTGTGGGGAAAGGACAACGAACTAAACACGAAGCCGTTCTCAAGGAATTTGTTTTCTGTCTCGAGGATTTAGATGTGCTTAGCTCCGGTAGCTTCCTAATATCAGAACAAAGAGAAACAGCCGCAGAAGTGCACCCGAAAGGGTTCAATGCACCGACCGTCTTTGATGGATAGCCACAATTCGCTACGAGGATGACCAGAATTTGCGTGATGGTGTATGTTCATTGGCGAGATCAGCAAGGAAAATACTGCAGGTGTATTAACCATACATATTAACCAAATCCTATACCGTGGACTTTAAGATCCCAGGACATAATCTGAAGAAAAGTAGGACATGTGCGTTGGCATCACAGGCCAATTTGCCAAAGTTTGGAGATTACTCACAAATTACGAAATAAGAAATAAAAACAAAGTAACACTGCCCCCTACCGACAGGCTATACGCATTTGCAGGCCGGTGTTGTATGCACCATGTGCTTCGCAGGGACAGCTAGCCAATGTGGGGTTTCCTTGGCTAGACGTCCGGTGCATTAGAATAGTTGAGATGAAATAGTGATGTATGGGGTTTGAAATGATGAGGTATTTAAGCTCCGTTATACTTATAAATGGAAAAATAACGCCATCTAAACCAAACTACACAGAGGACAACGATGAAGCAGTTTGGAAACAAATTAAATGTCGATTTAAAGCTTTCGTGACTGCAGGGATTCATATTCGTGGTTCTTTCGGTAAAGTCACCACGTAGAAGGGAAACAATAAAATAATAAAAATATGAAACAATAAAATTCTCACGACGTTTCGACTGCCACACAAGCAATCATCATCAGGTGTGAAAACCACAGCAAGAAAATTTGAAGAAAGTGGCGGTTATTTTTATAACATTAAAAATAACCGCCACTTTTTTAACATTTTGGCGGTTATATTTATATAGTTAAAAATAACCGCCACTTTTTCAAATTTTCTTGCTGTGGTTTTCACACCTGATGATGATTGCTTGTGTTGCAGTCGAAACGTCGTGAGAATTTTATTGTTTTATATTTTTATGATTTTATTGTTTCCCTTCTTCGTGACTTTACCGAAAGAACCAAGAATATAGATTAAATGTCGTTCGCACCTGAAGCTTGAGACGCTGTAGTCCCTGTATAAATATCTTGCCCGCTGTTCTTTCTGGAATAACTTGGTAATCTATGAGAGAACAAACAGCAAAATATTAGCCTTTCCCGGACAAGAGACATGGCACATGTGGTGGTTGGTACAAGCAGTTATTGGTTCATGTAATAGTGTCAAACATAGTAATGCAATGCAATTACATCATGCATTTACAAAGCATCTAAATGCTACTGCATCTGAAGATGCCTGACCAGAAACAGTGGAATGTATATGTTATAGAGGGAAAGAGGCAGTCCAGTCATGGGCAGAGGAAAACATGGAAGGTCGGCAGCCGGGGGAGTCAAGAACATGGATAGGTAGGAGAAGGTAATTCCAGACGATGAAGAGTAACAGAGAGGAATGAGCAAAGGTTGACTGCGGGCTTCTGCAAAAGCCTTGGCTGCTGCTGCAGCAGAGAGTGATTGTCGGGGAGTAGAGTGAGGTGCGAGGTGAGAGATAAAGGAGCACGTGGAGAGGACTCGAACGAGATGAGAGGGGATAGGTAGGAGGATTGTGTGACCCCCACGTAAACATCGTACAATGTAAAGGCGTTGCCCTGTTGGAGTTTGCTTGCGTGGGGGTGCGGGAAGCCGTTGAATCTCAATGGCATCCCCACTATATTGTATAAAGGCGGTGAGGGGTATAATGTGAGTCGATTAGTGGTGGCTGTCATGTGAGCAGGACGTGTCTGATGGAAGGTCAGATGCGTGCCACTGGTCCATGAGAGACAGGCTTTCCGCAAGTTAATTCAGATGCAGCAGTAGGGTTACGGCGGTATCATTTTTTTTCCCAATACGATAGAATATCAACTTTCATGATATGGTGACCATCACGAAAACTCTTGATATGAATACAGCAGATCTTACCTCCGTGGTGATGTTTCTGGAATATTCAATGTAGAGTGGCTTTTCAGGGTTGTAGAGATCCTGATCAAACTGACGATTGATAATGGTGAACTGGACATTGTATGATTCCAGTTGCTCTGGTTTCTTGGTGGTTGACATTGTGGTGGAGGTTGTCTTCGACTTGGTCGGTTTCACTAAAAGTACACAGAGATCAGATCACACTTGCGCTTATCTTCGAACATGTCATCATCATCATCATCAGCAGCCATGGTCAATCCACTGCTGGATAAACATATTCTCGAACCGCCATCATCTCTTGATGATCCTGCAATGTAACGATCCACCCAACGTGTGCACTGATTTTATTGCTTCATCAACTCGGTGGATTCCCGCAGATGTCTCCTATTCCCTAAATGCCACTCCATTATTATTCTGGACCATCAGCCATAGTACCCTCTAGCCATGACGTGTCCCGACCCAAGCCCACTTAGATTGCTGAACAGTTTTAATTATTAACTTAACCTGCGTTTTCTCATCCACGTGTCACTCGTTTTGTCTCGAAGCAATTCCAAGCATAAATGTATCCATGCTTCTTCGCACACTTAAGCTTCTGTTCATGGATCTGATCAATACCATAGCTGATAATATGCAACGTTAAAGACTTCATTGTATAGGCACTTAGGAATGTTGCTTCAAATATTGTATTTATGAACCTCAGATGATCACTTACTCGTGTATTTAGAGAATTAAAAAGCACAGAGTGGGATGTGACATGTTATGGTAGGAAAAAAATCTGTCAACCCCATGTAGATGGGGGCAGTCGGTTACCACCTACTGGCAGACTAATGACCTCTTAAACACGCCTTGTGCTGTACAGGGACAGCTACCACTGGGGGGGGGGGGGTGTTATTGACTATACTGCAGATATTGATTTCATTTCTTTTTAACATCTGGTCAATATTCTAATATTCTAATGTTAGGGAAATGCAATGCCAAAATCGGACTATAAAATAATCCTCTTGTCTTGAATAAGGTTGCAACGATTAAATAAAATTATCTCATACGCCGATAATGATGCATTAAACTTCTATTGGAGTTGTGTTTTGAAGGTGATGGGTCAATATGACAGACTCGTTTTTTTACGAAACTGGAAAATGTACGATGTTCACGTCCCAATGTCGTGTAGTTACCTTCAGCTGCAGGGGTCTTTTGGGGTTTATGTTTCGTTGTTTTCGGAGCAGCTGCTGTTGATCGTTTCTTGGGGGCCACCGTGGTTGGTTTTTGACCCTCAATTTGTTGGTGTGTTACTGGAACAATCGCTTCTGCACAAAATATATATGGATTAGGGTGTATATGTATATAATACAACACTAGACACCATCATCACTGAATATGAAATGTCCACAGAGGAGTTGTTGCCATGGCAGGTTTGGAGTCTTTATCTCTCTTCTACAGTGACTACGATGGTCACTGTTCCCATAAACTTCACTCGTTGATTTCTGCACCCGTGTTGAAGACTCGGTCTACCAGACTTGACTGTTGCGTCTCATACATACTGTGTTCAACCATCAAATAGAAATTCTTTGGGTATTTTGGAAAAGTCACGTAGATAGGTTCAAAGAAAATAACATAACACTAAAATATTCTTTGGGTTTTTCGGTAAAGTCACGCAGATAAGTGATTTTTTTGTTATTTTCTTTGAACTTATCTACGTGACTTTACCGAAAGACCCAAAGAATATGAATTCCTGCAGTCACGAAAGCTTTAAGTAAAATACCAAAACCTACGACGTTTCGATCGCAACCCAAGCGATCGTCTTCTGGAAAAGGGGGGTTAGCTCCCAAAGGCAAACTGTTTATAAAGGGTTTGAAATGGGCGTAGCCCAAATGTCAGCAGCCAATGGTAATGCAGGTGGTGGGCAGCCAACCCGATGGTGGTTGGTTTTCCACCACCTGGCAGCCCTTTGATTGGTGGAAAACCAACCACCGTCGGGTTTGCTGTTTCCATTCTACTGCCCATGTGCGTATAGCCTCGTTCAAGTCAATAAATACATTACCTCCGATTGCATTCATGTGTTCAAGGTCAACGATCAATCTTACTGACTTGTTTTCTTTACACAACTGAGGAGTGCATGATCGTGCCGTCCCAATGTCGTGTAGTTACCTTCAGCTGCAGGGGTCTTTTTGGGTTTATGTTTCGTTGTTTCATGAGCAGCTGCTGTTGGTGGTTTCTCAGGGGCCCCTTTGGTTGGGGCCTGAGTAATGGGTGGTGGAGGGGGGCCACCTGATTTGGAGCAGCAGAATCTGACCTTGTAGTTGTAACATGGCAGTCCTCCTTGATCCTCATTGACACATTTCAGTCCTTTATTCTTGTCACAAGTGATCGTCTGGCCCAATTCCTGCCATGGGGTATGAGGGAATCTCTCTGCTTTGCAGTCAATTTTTTCCACTGATGAGTCAGGCAGACAAACCACTTTTCCTGAGGCTATGACCTTCTCGTATGATTCATCATCTCCGCCATTTTCATTATCAGGATATTGATCATCGTACCAGTCAGACCAGCCTGTAGCACAGTCTTCTTCTGCAAAGATACATTCTTAATTAGTCTTCAAACGGTTACTATGTATATATGAACTCCATTTCTCTAAGATGATGTTCTGACAGCTATGAAATGCATCATACCTATGAATGCGCAATTGGTAGGAGTGTACAGCGAAATATGTATTTACGTACAGCAAGCATACAGTGAGTCTTCATCATGAATGGGCTGTACACAGAGCTGCCGAATTTTCGTTGAGTATCAACCTGAAATCCTGGTGAGCTGCCATACCCCTTCTGTTAGCACCACCTTCTTTTACGAAGATACGGTCGCTCAATTACTCTGACACAGGCTAATCTACTGCTCCGTAAGATCCTCCTATTCTGCTACCAACCCAGCCAAGAGACTGTGAGTCATACCCTGTTCCAGTAAATCAGCCAAGTTAGGGACCAGAACACTGGAAAGTAGGACAAACGCCAAAATTTAAAATGCTTCAGGACACTAGCATAGCCTTTTTGAAACCGGGAATGTCCCGGCACAACCAGAACATATGTTTGCTTTGACTGAACATATGATTTTGATTTAAAGCTTTCGTGACTGCAGGGATTCATATTCTTGGTTCTTTCGGTGAAGTCACCACGTAGAAGGGAAACAATAAAATAATAAAAAAATATGAAACAATAAAATTCTCACGACGTTTTGACTGCAACACAAGCAATCATCATCAGGTGTGAAAACCACAACGAGAAAATTTGAAAAAAGTGGCGTTTTTTTAACGTTAGCACCACGGATAGCGATTTGACAGTTTGTTCAGATGGACGAGTCCATCTATGTTTGGAATCGAGGAGGGGGGAGACGAAAAATATTGGATAGGGGCTGAAAGCCACCTTAAGCGTGATCAATCAATTAAGACCGGAAATGGTTGATCAAATCCTTCCAATGATTGCTAAGCCAGAATCCATCTTCTCGGTTGAAATTGTCTCTGTGTTTGTATATGTGGATGACATTGACTTTTACAAGACAGAGGTTCTTTGCAAGCCATCTGGCTACCATGAGAGATTCGTTCATGAGGCTATCCACATATACAAACACAGAGACAATTTCAACCGAGAAGATGGATTCTGGCTTAGAAATCATTGGAAGGATTTGATAAACCATTTCCGGTCTTAATTGATTGGTCACGCTTAAGGTGGCTTTCAGACCGCAGCCATTATTTTTCATCAACCCCCTCCTCTTTAACGAACATAGATGGACTCGTACATCTGAACAAACTGTCAAATCGCTATCCGTGGTGGTAACGTTAAAAAACAACCACTTTTTTCAAATTTTCTTGTTGTGGTTTTCACACCTGATGATGATTGCTTGTGTTGCAGTAGAAACGTCGTGAGAATTTTATAGTTTTATATTTTTATTATTTTTTTGTTTCCCTTCTACGTGACTTTACCAAAAGAACCAGGAATATGAACATACGATTGTATGTAATATATTATCCACATGTGATCTTGCAACTAATTCCACCATGGTACCTGGGCGTGGAGTTGGGGTTGATGGTTCTGGCTCCTTGCTGCTGGAGGTTGGAGGTGGGGGTGTCTTGTCCTTCGATCCAGTTGGCTCTGGAGGAGGAGCACCACTCTCTTCATGAGCTGGCTTTGTTGGCTTTTCCTCAACGGGGGGTTTTGATGTCACTTTGAAAGAAAAGCAAGGGATGGATGTTGACACAATGTGGATTGTTTAGACGTGGGAGCATGGACATACAGAACAATAAAGGTGCGTGGCATTCTGCCCTCTGCAGCCATATTGTAAAAAAATGCCTATGATATCTGTTACACAAGCATTCACCCATTTCAACCTCATCCTCAATTTGTTGGTGTGTTACTGGAACAATCGCTTCTGCACAAAATATATATGGATTCGGGTGTATATGTATATAATACAACACTAGACACCATCATCACTGAATATGAAATGTCCACAGAGGAGTTGTTGCCATGGCAGGTTTGGAGTCTTTATCTCTCTACTATAGTGACTACCATGGTCACTGTTCCCATAAACTTCACTCGTTGATTCCTGCACCCGTGTTGAAGACTCGGTCTACGAGACTTGACTGTTGCGTCTCATCCATACTGTGTTCAACCATCAAATAGAGATTATTTGGGTCTTTTGGTAAAATCAGAGAGATAGGTTCAAAGAAAATAACAAAACACTAAAATATTCTTTGGGTTTTTCGGTAAAGTCACGCAGTTAGGTGATTTTTTGTTATTTTCTTTGAACCTATCTACGTGACTTTACCGAAAGACGCAAAGAATATGAATTCCTGCAGTCACGAAAGCTTTAAGTAAAATACCAAAACCTACGACGTTTCGATCGCAACCCAAGCGATCATCTTCTGGAAAAGGGGGGTTAGCTCCCAAAGGCAAACTGTTTATAAAGGGTTTGAAATGGGCGTAGCCCAAATGTCAGCAGCCAATGGTAATGCAGGTGGTGGGCAGCCAACCCGATGGTGGTTGGTTTTCCACCACCTGGCAGCCCTTTGATTGGTGGAAAACCAACCACCGTCGGGTTTGCTGCTTCCATTCTACTGCCCATGTGCGTATAGCCTCGTTCAAGTCAATAAATACATTACCTCCGATTGCATTCATGTGTTCAAGGTCAACGATCAATCTTACTGACTTGTTTTCTTTACACAACTGAGGAGTGCATGATCGTGCCGTCCCAATGTCGTGTAGTTACCTTCAGCTGCAGGGGTCTTTTTGGGTTTATGTTTCGTTGTTTCATGAGCAGCTGCTGTTGGTGGTTTCTCAGGGGCCCCTTTGGTTGGGGCCTGAGTCATGGGTGGTGGAGGGGGGCCACCTGATTTGGAGCAGCAGAATCTGACCTTGTAGTTGTAACATGGCAGTCCTCCTTGATCCTCATTGACACATTTCAGTCCTTTATTCTTGTCACAAGTGATCGTCTGGCCCAATTCCTGCCATGGGGTATGAGGGAATCTCTCTGCTTTGCAGTCAATTTTTTCCACTGATGAGTCAGGCAGACAAACCACTTTTCCTGAGGCTATGACCTTCTCGTATGATTCATCATCTCCGCCATTTTCATTATCAGGATATTGATCATCGTACCAGTCAGACCAGCCTGTAGCACAGTCTTCTTCTGCAAAGATACATTCTTAATTAGTCTTCAAACGGTTACTATGTATATATGAACTCCATTTCTCTAAGATGATGTTCTGACAGCTATGAAATGCATCATACCTATGAATGCGCAATTGGTAGGAGTGTACAGCGAAATATGTATTCACGTACAGCAAGCATACAGTGAGTCTTCATCATGAATGGGCTGTACACAGAGCTGCCGAATTTTCGTTGAGTATCAACCTGAAATCCTGGTGAGCTGCCATACCCCTTCTGTTAGCACCACCTTCTTTTACGAAGATACGGTCGCTCAATTACTCTGACACAGACTGACCTACTGCTCCGTAAGATCCTCCTATTCTGCTACCAACCCAGCCTAGAGTCTGTGAGTCATACCCTGTTCCAGTAAATCAGCCAAGTTTGGGACCAGAACACTGTAAAGTAGGACAAAAGCCAAAATTTAAAATGCTTCAGGACACTAGCATAGCCTTTTTGAAACCGGGAATGTCCCGGCACAACCAGAACATATGTTTGCTTTGACTGAACATATGATTTTGATTTAAAGCTTTCGTGACTGCAGGGATTCATATTCTTGGTTCTTTCGGTGAAGTCACCACGTAGAAGGGAAACAATAAAATAATAAAAATATGAAACAATAAAATTCTCACGACGTTTTGACTGCAACACAAGCAATCATCATCAGGTGTGAAAACCACAACGAGAAAATTTGAAAAAAGTGGCGTTTTTTTAACGTTAGCACCACGGAGAGCGATTTTACAGTTTGTTCAGATGGACGAGTCCATCTATGTTTGGAATCGAGGAGGGGGGAGACGAAAAATATTGGATAGGGGCTGAAAGCCACCTTAAGCGTGATCAATCAATTAAGACCGGAAATGGTTGATCAAATCCTTCCAATGATTGCTAAGCCAGAATCCATCTTCTCGGTTGAAATTGTCTCTGTTTGTATATGTGGATGACATTGACTTTTACAAGACAGAGGTTCTTTGCAAGCCATCTGGCTACCATGAGAGATTCGTTCATGAGGCTATCCACATATACAAACAGAGACAATTTCAACCGAGAAGATGGATTCTGGCTTAGAAATCATTGGAAGGATTTGATAAACCATTTCTGGTCTTAATTGATTGGTCACGCTTAAGGTGGCTTTCAGACCGCAGCCATTATTTTTCGTCAACCCCCTCCTCTTTAACGAACATAGATGGACTCGTACATCTGAACAAACTGTCAAATCGCTATCCGTGGTGGTAACGTTAAAAAACAACCACTTTTTTTCAAATTTTCTTGTTGTGGTTTTCACACCTGATGATGATTGCTTGTGTTGCAGTCGAAACGTCGTGAGAATTTTATAGTTTTATATTTTTATTATTTTTTTGTTTCCCTTCTACGTGACTTTACCAAAAGAACCAGGAATATGAACATATGATTGTATGTAATATATTATCCACATGTGATCTTGCAACTAATTCCACCATGGTACCTGGGCCTGGAGTTGGGGTTGATGGTTCTGGCTTCTTGCTGCTGGAGGTTGGAGGTGGGGGTGTCTTGTCCTTCGATCCAGTTGGCTCTGGAGGAGGAGCACCACTCTCTTCATGAGCTGGCTTTGTTGGCTTTTCCTCAACGGGGGGTTTTGATGTCACTTTGAAAGAAAAGCAAGGGATGGATGTTGACACAATGTGGATTGTTTAGACGTGGGAGCATGGACATACAGAACAATAAAGGTGCGTGGCATTCTGCCCTCTGCAGCCATATTGTAAAAAAATGCCTATGATATCTGTTACACAAGCATTCACCCATTCCAACCTCATCCTCAATTTGTTGGTGTGTTACTGGAACAATCACTTCTGCACAAAATATATATGGATTCGGGTGTATATGTATATAATACAACACTAGACACCATCATCACTGAATATGAAATGTCCACAGAGGAGTTGTTGCTATGGCAGGTTTGGAGTCTTTATCTCTCTTCTATAGTGACTACCATGGTCACTGTTCCCATAAACTTCACTCGTTGATTCCTGCACCCGTTTTGAAGACTCGGTCTACCAGACTTGACTGTTGTGTCTCATCCATACTGTGTTCAACCATCAAATAGAGATTATTTGGGTATTTTGGTAAAATCAGAGAGATAGGTTCAAAGAAAATAACAAAACACTAAAATATTCTTTGGGTTTTTCGGTAAAGTCACGCAGTTAGGTGATTTTTTGTTAGTTTCTTTGAACTTATCTACGTGACTTTACCGAAAGACGCAAAGAATATGAATTCCTGCAGTCACGAAAGCTTTAAGTAAAATACCAAAACCTACGACGTTTCGATCGCAACCCAAGCGATCATCTTCTGGAAAAGGGGGGTTAGCTCCCAAAGGCAAACTGTTTATAAAGGGTTTGAAATGGGCGTAGCCCAAATGTCAGCAGCCAATGGTAATGCAGGTGGTGGGCAGCCAACCCGATGGTGGTTGGTTTTCCACCACCTGGCAGCCCTTTGATTGGTGGAAAACCAACCACCGTCGGGTTTGCTGCTTCCATTCTACTGCCCATGTGCGTATAGCCTCGTTCAAGTCAATAAATACATTACCTCCTATTGCATTCATGTGTTCAAGGTCAACGATCAATCTTACTGACTTGTTTTCTTTACACAACTGAGGAGTGCATGATCGTGCCGTCCCAATGTCGTGTAGTTACCTTCAGCTGCAGGGGTCTTTTTGGGTTTATGTTTCGTTGTTTCATGAGCAGCTGCTGTTGGTGGTTTCTCAGGGGCCCCTTTGTTTGGGGCCTGAGTAATGGGTGGTGGAGGGGGGCCACCTGATTTGGAGCAGCAGAATCTGACCTTGTAGTTGTAACATGGCAGTCCTCCTTGATCCTCATTGACACATTTCAGTCCTTTATTCTTGTCACAAGTGAGCGTCTGGCCCAATTCCTGCCATGGGGTATGAGGGAATCTCTCTGCTTTGCAGTCAATTTTTTCCACTGATGAGTCAGGCAGACAAACCACTTTTCCTGAGGCTATGACCTTCTCGTATGATTCATCATCTCCGCCATTTTCATTATCAGGATATTGATCATCGTACCAGTCAGACCAGCCTGTAGCACAGTCTTCTTCTGCAAAGATATAATCTTAATCAGTCTTCAAACGCAAACATTTTGGGGGATGTTTAAGCCATATGTATGCATTAAAACAGGCCGAATGACTGTTACCAAACCCCATCATTGTGTTTAAGTAGATTTTTTTGCCTCAATGTGTTGCTGTGTTGCTGGAACAATCACTTTTGCACAAAATATACATTAATTAAGGTGTTTCCAATATAAAACAATACACATCTTCATCACTGAATAGGACACGTTGCACAAAGGAGTTAAAACAGGCCGAATGACTGTTACCAAACCCCATAATTGTGTTTAAGTAGATTTTTTTGCCTCAATGTGTTGCTGTGTTGCTGGAACAATCACTTTTGCACAAAATATACATTAATTAAGGTGTTTCCAATATAAAACAATACACATCTTCATCACTGAATAGGACACGTTGCACAAAGGAGTTGTTGGCACTATTGTGGCTACTGTGGTCACTGTTCCCATAAACTTCCTGCACCCATATTCTTGGTTCTTTCGGTAAAGTCACGTTGAAGGGAAACAATAAAATAAGAAAATATATCTAAAACAATAGAATTCTCACGACGTTTCGACTGCAACACGAACAGTCGAAACGTCGTGAGAATTTTATTGTTTTATATATATTTTATTATTTTATTGTTTCCCTTCAACGTGACTTTACCAAAAGAACCAAGAATATGAATCACTGCAGTCACGAAAGCTTTAAATTAAAATTCATGCACCCATGTTGAAGATTTTGTCTACCAGAGCTGACTTGCATCTCATCCATATCGTATTCAACCAACATAGAGCAGGTGACACAATTGTATCTGTGTGCGTCTTCCCTTGCAATGCTTTACTTTGGAATTCCCTTCTATTGCCTCTTTTCCTATGTGCCTACATCCTCGTTCAATGCAATGCGTACATTAACGTGCATCTATTATACCTTCAAAACTGTTTGTTGATAACCGCTTGCCCCATTTTCGGCTGATGCTCAACAATTGATGAATAAATAATGTCACGTGTCATAGAGTTACCTGCAACCGCGGTGGTCAGACTTGGAATTGTTGATTTCTCTGGTTCCATTAGAGTTGTCCAGGGACCGACTGTTTTGGGTGGATGCTTCGTTGCCTTCCTGGATGGAGCATTAGTTGTGATCGGAAGAGGACTCACCACCTCAGAGCAGCAGAACCTGACCATGTAGTTGAAGCACATCAATATGCCCTGGTTTTCGTTCGCACATCTCAAGCCAGTCTCCTTATCACAGGTGATCTTTTGCCATAGTTTTTTCCAATTCGTATGTGGGAACTTATCCGCTCTGCAGTCGATTTTTTCTACCGAGGAGTTCACCGGGCAGACCACTTCCCCCGTCTCTATGGCCATTTGGTAGGTTTCCACATCGCCTCCATTTGCCTCAGTTGGAGTATGCTCGTCGAACCACTTGGACCAGCCCGTACCGCAATGTTCTTCTGCAAAAGCGTACATTTTCCAACGAGACATTTTCACATACATTAAAGCATTGACTTAACGCTTTCGTGACTGCAGTAATTCATATCCTTTGGGTCTTTCGGTAAAGCCACGTAGATAGAAAAAAAAATCAAAATAATAACAATGTCACGATGTTACGATCGCAACACAATCAATCGTCTTCAGCTGATAAGAAGACGATTGCTTGTGTTGCGATCGAAACATTGAGATATTGTTATTGTTTTGATTATTTTTTTCTATCTACGTGGCTTTACCGAAAAACCAAAAGGATATATTAAAACGTTTTCGTATTCTCCACACTTTTATCCCAATTGTTCTGTGGGCATCACATCACAGGACACAGCATACTTTTGGCTGCCTGAATTCACGCCCAAAACCGTATTAGTGCTCTAACCTCTGAGCCACTCGGAAACCTCAGAAGGTATTATTTCTAAACTGCTGTTGAAAGAGCCTACACCAAAAGCGTCAAAATAGTGGATGTGATGGTTGCACATCTGACCATCGCATATCCACCCTGACCAATTAACTGCTCACACCCAGTGCAGTATTTGTGCATGCTGTGACTGACATTTTATATCGATGTTCACACATCCCAAATGTTCACGTGCAGTAATGTATTCTTAATATCACATTTACTTTCTTATAACATACAGTAAAGCATTTTTTTTCTTTTTAATCTGTTGGTAATTTGTCCAGTAACCTGTTTGTGCATGGTGTAACTCCGTTTTATATATATGTATATTTTCACATATCTACATATACCTCAGTCGCCAGCAATACAAATATGCAACATTGTACAGTAAACCAAATCGATTGTCATATTTTCCCACGTGACAATTTCATTTCATTGGCTCTGTCCGGTAGTGGAGGGTTATAGTTCAAAGTTGGCATTATACCTGCACGATCTTACCCAAAGGAAACTATATTCTTAGCTCTTTCGGTAAAGTCACGTTGAAGGGAAACAATAAAATAATAATAATATTTATTTTATTGTTTCCCTTCAATGTGACTTTACCGAAAGAGCTAAGAATATTAATTACTGCAGTCACGAAAGCTTTAAATCAAAATCAAAGGAAACTAATTATAATAATTGTTTTACCTTTTTATCTGGCAACAAAACTGACACCTTTTTTTACAAGGAGTCATGTTTGCATTGACCACAATACCTGCGGTCGGAATGCAAACAAAAATCATAACTCTGATAATGTATTGGCACTGTCCTTGAAATTGATTGGTCCACACCCGAGACAGCTTTCCTTAGAGCCCAGTCTCACATTGGTGTTGGACCAGATGACGCCAAAAGGCTTACCCCGAGGTCTCATACTCTGATGGTGCATTGTCTTTGAGTTGTGCGTCTTTTGGCGTCATCCGGTCCAACACCAATGTGAGACTGGGCTCTAAGGAAAGCTGTCTCGGGTGTGGACCAATCAATTTCAAGGACAGTGCCAATACATTATCAGAGTTATGTCTTTGGTTTGCATTCCGACCGCAGGTATTGTGATCAATGCAAACATGGCTCTTTGTAAAAAAAAGTGTCAGTTTTGTTGCCAGATAAAAGGGTACAAAAACAATTATCAAACAAATTATAATTCATATTGTTGTGAAAGCCTATGTATGAAAATGTACAGTTTTTCAACTCGACAAGATATAAAAAAAAACTTCATAAAGAATGATTATTAAATATGGAGCATATATTTTTGTGGTGAAATTCATATTCACCATTATGCTGGCCGAGGATACGTAACTACCTGGATTAAAAAAAAAACTCTATTGATCAAAACTTATTAAATGATGCAGGCCATTATTTGGGGAAAACAATGTACCGTCATCTTCCGCCGTTGTAGATATTGCTTCTGTGCTTGAGGTTTGTGGTGCTTTGGTGGAGACATCTGGAGTGTTTTGACTCGGAGCTGCAGAGCTTTTCACTACATTACTCCGTTCCGTTGACTTTTCTTCAACTGCTTGTAAGGACGTCACTTTGAGCGAAAAGCGGAAGAGAGAAAATGCAATTGGTGTGGGGAGGTTCAACTATGAGTCTTATTAATCCATATTCCCTACAATGGTGATAATGAAACTCTGGCACAATGCAGACCAATTAAATTCTGATCAAGTGTGATCAATTGAAATCACTGCTAAATCCCTGTTTTTATTTTTTTTACATTGGTACGTGTAAGTGGCCTATGCAAACTGAATGAAAAAGATGTGAACGTCAATAATCCCTGGTCAAATGTCATATTATCCAAATATGATGTAACTAACTTACATTTGGTAAGGATATCTGTCAAATACTGTCTTTAAAATGTAATACAAGTTTCATGAATGCCATCTAGACAATTATGATTTAAATGGCCTTTTAAAAAAAATATTAGAAAAACGAACACTTATTTTATTAAAATATGCTGTCACCATTTTCCATGATTTACCTTTAGGTGTTTGTTTTACAGATGGCCGCGGTGCCTGTTCTGTTTCTTGTGTCACAGGAACACTTCGGCCTGCAAATAAAACGACAGAACTTAAATACATCAAACTATATAGATTTGGTATTTCCAATTTACTTTATAAATGCAATGACATGTATTTAGTATGAAGAAAATTTTGATTTAAAGCTTTCGTGACTGCAGGGATTCATATTCTTGGTTCTTTCGGTAAAGTCACATAGAAGGGAAACAATAAAATAATAAAAATATAAAACAATTAAATTCTCACGACGTTTCAACTGTAACACAAGCAATAACATTTCTTGTTGTGGTTTTCACACCTGATGAGGATTGCTTGAGTTGCAGTCGAAACGTCGTGATAATTTTATTGTTTAATATTTTTATTCTTTCCCTTCTATGTGACTTTACCGAAAGAACCAAGAATATGAAGAACATGTTTGCTCATTAAAATCAATGCTGATCACTAATCTCACTCCAAGTTTACCTGCAGCTGCAGTGGTCTCTTCGCGCGCTGGTGGCGACTCTGATTTGCTTTTCTTTGTTTCTGAGAAAGCTTCTGTCGATGGCTTCTCAGGGGCCGCTTTGGTTGGGGCCTGAGTAATGGGTGGTGGAGGGGGTCCACCTGCTCTGGAGCAGCAGAATCTGACCTTGTAGTTGTAACATGGCAGACCTCCTTGATCCTCATTAACACATTTCAGTCCTTTATTCTTGTCACAAGTGATTGTCTGGCCCAATTCCTGCCATGGGGTATTAGGGAATCTCTCTGCTTTGCATTCAATGTTTTGCACCGGTGAGTCAGGCAGACAAACCACTTTCCCTGAGGCTATGACCTTCTGGTAAGATTCCTCATCTCCGCCATTTTCTTCATCAGGATATTGCTCATCGTACCAATCAGACCAGCCTGGAGCACAGTCTTCTGCAAAGATACATTCTTAATCAGTTTTCAAACAGTTACTATGTATATATCAACTACATTTAAATAAGGTAATGTTCTGACAGCTATAAAATGCATCATACCTATGAATGCGCCGTTGGTAGGAGCGTACAGCGAAATGTGTACTTACATACAGAAAGTATACAGTGAGTCTCTTCATCATGAATGGACTGTACATAGAGATGCCGAATTTTCGCTGAGTATCAACCCGAAATCCTGGTGAGCTGCAATACCCCTTCTGTTAGCACCACCTTCTTTTACGAATATACAGTCGCTCAATTACTCTGACACAGGCTGACCTACTGCTCCTTAAGATCCTCCTATTCTGCTACCAACCCAGCCTAGAGTCTGTTAGTCATAACCTGTTCCTGTAAATGAGCCAAGTTTGGGACCAGAACACTGTAAAGTAGGACAAAAGCCCAAATTTACAATGCTTCAGGACACTAGCATAGCCTTTTTGAAACCGGGAATGTCCCGCCACAACCAGAACATTTGGTTGCTTTGACTGAACATATGATTGTATGTAATCTATTATTCACATGTGATGTTGCAACTAATTTCGCCAAGGTACCTGGGCCTGGAGTTGGGGGTGATGGTTCTGGCTCCTTGTTGACGGAGGTTGGAGGTGGGGGTGTCTTGTCCTTTGATCGAGTTGGTTCTTGAGGAGGAGGGCCACTCTCTTCAGGAGCTGGCTTTGTTGGCTTTTCCTCAACTGGAGGTTTCGGTGTCACTTTGAAAGAAAAGCAAGGGATGGATGTTGACAGAATGAAGATTGCTCATGCATTCTCAATTACTCCTTGTAAAATGTTGTCAACAACCTTCAGACGATACTTTTAATCAGCATCTCAAATGAGTTACTGGGAAGTGTTCCAAAATAATGTACAGCTTTGCCAATCCGCTGTTCAATTAAAGCCTGCCCACACTGTCTGAGTTTGTGAGATTGTTTGACCGTGCTTCATCATTTTCTGTAGTGTGAGTGTGGGAATCATGGACGCGGAAGCATGGAAGTACAGCACAATAAAGGGTTCTGGCATTCTGCCCTCTGTATTCCACATTGTAAATATTCAGCCTCATGACATCAATTATGCAGGTAGTCACCCATCTAAAATCATCCATGTGTCACTATGTTTAGTTTCTAGCATCTAACGAATTCAGTGACATTCTGTGTGATTTGATCCTAGTAGTATACATCCTGTATATATACTCTTACAAAATGAACACACCTGGCCCTTCTGCGGGCGATGGTTCTGGCTCCTTGTTGCTAGAGGTTGGAGGTGGGGGTGACTTCTCCTTCGATGGAGTTGGTTCTGGAGGAGGAGGGCCACTTTCTTCTGGAGCTGCCTTTGTTGGCTTTTCCTCAACCGGGGGTTTCGGTGTCACTTTGAAAGAAAATCAAGATATAGATGTTGAAAGAACGTACATTTAAAAGACGTGGGAGCATGGACGTACAGCACAATAAATGTGTTTAGCATTCAGACCTCTGCAGCCTAAAACTTGCAGTTTATAAATCATGTTAGCGGACGTGGTCACCCATTCATACCATCCTGTTACAAGCATACTTCGTCTCTGAGATCTAAATATGTAGTCGCATTTTGCGTGATTTGATTCTGAGCAATATACATCCTGTGTATATATATATTCTTAGAGCATGGACACACCTGGCCCTTCTGGGTTTGAGGGTCCTGGCTCCTTGATGCCAGAGGTTGGAGGTGCGGGTGTCTTGTCCTTCGATGCAGTTGGTTCTGGGGGACGAGTGCAAACCTCACTGATTGGCTGTGCCAGGTGGTGGTGCATTTAAATACGTATTTACCTGATCCAACAAAAAATATGATGGCATTTAATATATTATCCATGTGATTTTGCAACTTATTCCAGAATGGTACCTGGGCTTGCTTTAGATGGAGTTGGTGCAGGGGGTCCACCTGCTCTGGAGCAGCAGAATCTGATCTTGTAGTTGTAACATGGCAAAAAGTCCTGATCGTTATTAAAGCATTTCAAGCCTGTGCTCTGGTCACAAGTGATCGTCTGGCCCAATTCCTCCCATGGGGTATTCGGGAATCTTTCTGCTTTGCAGTCAATTTTTTCTACTGATGAGTCAGGCAGACAGACCTCTCTCCCCGAGTCTATAATCTTTTGGTAGGATTCCTCATCTCCGCCATTTTCTTCATCAGGATATTGATCATCGTACCAGTCAGACCAGCCTAAAGCACAATCTTCTGCAAATATAGAACATGAATCAGTGATGAAATTCAAACAGATTATGGAAAATATTTAAACCATATGTATGCATTAAAACAGGCCTCAAGACTATCTTTCCACACTCCAATCCTCACCTTGGTTGGTGGGTGTTTCATTTGGTTTTGTAGCCTCAATTGGTTGCTGTGTTGCAGGAACAATCAATTCTGCAAAAAATATACATGAATTATGGTGTGTATCGCAAAAAATAATACGCATCATCATCACTGAATATTACATCTCCCAAAATAATGTTTGTTAGGACAGGTAAGTAGTTATGAGTTTCTATTGATTTCATTGAAGTGGACCCATGCAAATGTTGGGTTTACAAACTGAAATGAATCCTGCATCATTTGACCAAATGGCTGCCCTTTTACGTTTGATTTTGTTAAAAACGTTCTAAACATTGACTCATAGGGACGCATGGAATATTGGAACAAAAACTTCAGCAAATTAGTATCTGGAGCACTGTGTTAACATCAGCAATTGGGAAATTAGCCAGGTGTAGTGTGTGTATTAAATACGTGTATACCTGTAGCATGATGTTTATCTATATAGCTTGCATACACGGGCAATGTATTTTACTTGAATTTGTTTACTTTTCAAACGTCTATTATTTTAACGTGGATTATAACCTATCATGTGCCATCACAAAACGTGTTTAATATAATTTAAAATCTTTTTGATCTCACGTGTTTCGAATATATTCATAAGTCAAATATTAGAAAAACTGCCCAAGCATTATGCTTATTTCCCAAAGTATCGGTTTCAATGTTAAGTAAAAGTTGTCTTTGATGTCAATAAAGATACAATACTTCTGATTGGTGGAATGTTTACAAGATGAAGGTCGGTAATGTTACTGACGTGATTTATTTTAACTAGTAGAGAATTGATGTTCATGTTACCATTGTCATAGTTACCTTCACCGATAGTGATGGTCTCTTTAGGCACAGGTGGGGACTTTGGCTTCCTTTTCGTTGTTTCCGGAGCAGCTGCAGTTGGTGGTTTCTCAGGGGCCCATTTGGTTGGGGCCTGAGTAATGGGTGGTGGAGGGGGGCCACCTGATTTGGAGCAGCAGAATCTGACCTTGTAGTTGTAACATATAAACATGCTTTGATCGTCATTAGAGCATTTCAGGCCTGTGCTCTTGTCACAAGTGATCGTCTGGCCCAATTCCTGCCATGGGGTATTAGGGAATCTCTCCGCTTTGCAGTCAATTTTTTCCACTGATGAGTCAGGCAGACAAACCACTTTCCCTGAGGCTATGACCTTCTCGTATGATTCATCATCTCCACCATTGTCTTCATCAGGATATTGATCATCGTACCAGTCAGACCAGCCTGTAGCACAGTCTTCTTCTGCAAAGATACATTCTTAATTAGTCTTCAAACGGTTACTATGTATATATGAACTCCATTTCTCTAAGATGATGTTCTGACAGCTATGAAATGCATCATACCTATGAATGCGCCGTTGGTAGGAGTGTACAGCGAAATATGTATTTACGTACAGCAAGCATACAGTGAGTCTTCATCATGAATGGACTGTACACAGAGCTGCCGAATTTTCATTGAGTATCAACCCGAAAGACTGGTGAGCTGCCATACCCCTTCTGTTAGCACCACCTACTTTTACGAATATACAGTCGCTCAATTACTCTGACACAGACTGACCTACTGCTCCGTAAGATCCTCCTATTCTGCTACCAACCCAGCCTAGAGTCTGTGAGTCATACCCTGTTCCAGTAAATCAGCCTAGTTTGGGACCAGAACACTGTAAAGTAGGAGAAAAGCCCAAATTAAAATGCTTCAGGACACTAGCATAGCCTTTTTGAAACCCGGAATATCCCGACACAACCAGAACATATGGTTGCTTTGATTGAACATATGATTGTATGTAATATATTATCCACATGTGATCTTGCAAATAATTCCACCATGGTACCTGGGCCTGGAGTTGGGGGTGATGGTTCTGGCTCCTTGCTGCTGGAGGTTGGAGGTGGGGGTGTCTTGTCCTTCGATCCAGTTGGCTCTGGAGGAGGAGCGCCACTCTCTTCAGGAACTGGTTTTGTTGGCCTTTCCTCAACCGGGGGTTTCGGTGTCACTTTGAATGAAAAGCAAGGGATGGACGTTGAAAGAATGTACATTTAAAAGACGTGGGAGCATGGACATGAAGCACAATAAATGGATATAACATACTGCCCTCTGCAGCCTATAACTTGCAGTTTATTAATCATGTTAGCGGAAGTGGTCACCCATTCATACCATTCAGTTACAATCATACTTCGTTTCTGAGATCTAAAAATGTAGTCGCATTTTGCGTGATTTAAATCTGAGAAATATACATCCTGTGTATATATATTCTTAGAGCATGGACACACCTGGCCCTTCTGGGTTTGAGGGTCCTGGCTCCTTGATGCCAGAGGTTGGAGGTGCGGGTGTCTTGTCCTTCGATGCAGTTGGTTCTGGGGGAATAGTGCAAACCTCACTGATTGGCTGTGCCAGGTGGTGGTGCATTTAAATACACATTTACCTGTTATAACCCAAAAAAACTTAATTATGAATGATGGCATTTAATATATTATCCATGTGATTTTGCAACTAATTCTAGAATGGTACCTGGGCTTGCTTTAGATGGAGTTGGTGCAGGAGGTCCACCTGCTCTGGAGCAGCAGAATCTGACCTTGTAGTTGTAACATGGCAGTCCTCCTTGATCCTCATTAACACATTTCAGTCCTTTATTCTTGTCACAAGTGATTGTCTGGCCCAATTCCTGCCATGGGGTATTCGGGAATCTCTCTGCTTTGCATTCAATGTTTTGCACCGGTGAGTCAGGCAGACAAACCACTTTCCCTGAGGCTATGACCTTCTGGTAAGATTCCTCATCTCCGCCATTTTCTTCATCAGGATATTGCTCATCGTACCAGTCAGACCAGCCTGGAGTACAGTCTTCTTCTGCAAATATACATTCTTAATCAGTCTTCAAACGGTTACTATGTATATATCAACTACATTTCTATAAGGTAATGTTCTGACAGCTATAAAATGCATCATACCTATGAATGTGCCGTTGGTAGGAGTGCACAACAAAATATGTATTTGCATACAGCAAGTATAGTGAGTCTCTTCATCATGAATGGACAGTACATAGAGCTGCCGAATTTTCGTTGACTATCAACCCGAAAGGCTGGTGAGCTTCCATACCCCTTTTGTTAGCACCACCTACTTTTACGAAGATACGGTCGCTCAATTACTCTGACACAGGCTGACCTACAGCTCCGTAAGTTCCTCCTATTCTGCTACCAACCCAGCCTAGAGTCTGTGAGTCATACCCTGTTCCAGTAAATGAGCCAAGTTTTGGGACCAGAACAATGTAAAGTAGGACAAAAGCCCAAATTTACAATGCTTCAGGACACTAGCATAGCCTTTTTGAAACCAGGAATGTCCCGGCACAACCAGAACATTTGGTTGCTTTGACTGAACATATGATTGTATGTAATATATTATCCACATGTGATCTTGCAACTAATTCCACCATGGTACCTGGGCCTGGAGTTGAGGGTGATGGTTCTGGCTCATTGATGCCGGAGGTTGGAGGTGGGGGTGTCTTGTCCTTCGATCCAGTTGGTTCTGCAGGAGGAGCGCCACTCTCTTCTGGAGCTGGCTTTGTTGGCTCTTCCTCTACCGGGGGTTTGGGTGTCACTTTGAAAGAAAAGCAAGGGATGGATGTTGACAGAATTCAGATTACTCATGCATTTTCAGTTGAACCTTGTAAAATGTTGTAAGCAACCTTCAGACGATACTTAAAATCTGCATTACGAATAAGTTACTGGAAAGTGATACTAAATAATGTACAGATCTTTGCCAATACACTGTTCAATTAAAGCCTACCCACGGTGTCTGGGTTGGGGGGGTTATTTGACGGTGCTTCATCATCCTCTTCAGTGCGGCTTATTGACCGAGGAATGGGGAGCATGGAAGTACAGCATAATAAAGAGGTGTGGCATTCTGCTCTGTGCAGTCCATATTGTAAATATTCAGCTGATGACATCTGTTACACAGATTGTTACCTATCCAAAAGCTATACAGGAGCAAGTCTTAATTAGTTCATGAGATCTAACAAATTAAGTCACGTTGTTTGATTTGATCCTAAGCTGTATACTTCCTGTATATATAATCTTATAAAATGAACACACCTGGCCCTTCTGAGGGTGAGGGTTCTGGCTCCTTGTTGCCGGAGGTTGGAGGTGGGGGTGTCTTGTCCTTCGGTCCAGTTGGTTCTTGAGGAGGAGCGCCACTCTTTTCAGGAGCTGGCTTTGTTGGCTTTTCCTCAACCGGTGGTTTTGGTGTTACTTTGGAAGAAAAGTAAGGGATTGGGTGTTGGCAGAATTTACATTGCATTTACTTGGGAACTTGTAAGTACAGCAAAATAAAGGAACGTGGTCTCCTGCCCTCTGCAGCCTATAACATGCAGTCTATAACAAATCTTACGGATATGGTAACCCATTCCTGACTTCCAGGGCAACCCTATTTCGTTTCTGAGATCTGGGAAATGCTTGTGCATCCCGTGCTATTTGATTGTAAGTATTATACGTCTGGTATAAAGATATATACATAAAAAACTAGCAACATTTACACACCTTGCCCTTCTGGGGGTGTTGGTTCTGGCTCCTTGTTGCTGGAGGTTGGAGGTGGGGGTGTCTTGTCCTTCGGTGCAGTTGGCTCTTGAGGCGGAGCGGCACTCTCTTCAGGAGCTGGCTTTGTTGGCTTTTCCTCAACCGGGGGTTTTGGTGTCACTTTGAAAGAAATGCAAGAAATAGGATGTTGACAGAATGTGCATTCCATTGACTTGGGAGCATGGAAGTACAGCACGAATAGAGAAAATGTGATATTTTGCTCTCTGCAGCCTATTACATGGAGTCTATAACACATATTACGAATGGGGTCACTCATTCCTGCCATCCAGGGCAACCCTATTTGATTTCTGAGATCTGAGAAATGTACGCGCATTCTGCGCTATTTGATCAATAGTATTATACAGCTGGGCTAAATATATTCATACAAAACTAGCAACAATAACAAAACTGGGCATAGAACAAACCTTTTATATCATTACGCACAGGAAGTATACAATGAGTATCTTCATCCCGAATAAACTATAGGAAATGCTTCAGAATGTTGTGGAGGATCAACGCTAAAGCACAGTGAGCTCGCAACCCCTTCTGTTAGCACCACCTACTTTTACGTAGTTATGCTGCCTGAATTACCAGCACTGCCCACATAGTTGGTAGTGTCACTCTGAAATAGCCTGACTTACGGCTCGGTAAGTTACTCCTATTCTGCTACAAACTCAGCTTAGAGTCCGTTAATCCCACCCTGTTCCAGTAAAATGAGCCAAGTATGGGACCAGAAGACTATAAAGCAGGACAAAATCACACTTTTACAATGTTTCAGGATCCTACGATAGCCTTTTGTAACTGACAATGACCTGACCCTACCAGAGCATATGGTTGCTTTCATTGAATATTCGATTGCATTTTATATATTATCCATATGTAACTTTGCAACAAATTCCACCATGGTACCTGGGCCTGGAGTTTGGGGTGATGGTTCTGGCTCCTTGTTGCTGGAGGTTGGAGGTGGGGGTGTCTTGTCCTTCGGTGCAGTTGGTTCTTGAGGAGGAGCGCCACTCTCTTCTGGAGCTGGCTTTGTTGGCTTTTCCTCTACTGGAGGTTCCGGTGTCACTTTGGAAGAAAAGCAAGGGATGGGTGTTGACAGAATGCAGATTCTAAATTTGAAGCTTTCGTGACTGCAATAATTCATACTCTTTGGTATTATTCGGTAAAGTGACATAGGTAAAAAAAACTAAATAAAATAAAAGAAACAATTAAAACACGACGTTTCGGCCACAACACAAGTGGCCTTCTGCAGGTGAAGGAACAGAACTGTCGGGACGACAGAGCTTCAAGCACTTCAAGTACTGTCGTCCCGACAGTTCTGTTCCTTCACCTGAAGAAGGCCACTTGTGTTGTGGCCGAAACGTCGTGTTTTAATAGTTTCTTTTATTTTAATTAGTTTTTCTACCTACGTGACTTTACCGAATAAAACCAAAGAGTAAGAATGCAGATTGTTTAGACGTGGGAGCAAGGACATACAGAACAATAAAGGTGCGTGGCATTCTGCCCTCTGCAGCCATATTGTAAAAATTTAACCTATGATATCTGTTACACAAGTAGTCACCCATCCCAACCTCATCCAGGTGCAAGTCTAATTTGATTATGAGATCTAACACATGAAGTCGCATTGTGTAATATGATCCTAAGTAGTATACAGCCTGCATATCTTCTTCTAACCTATAAAAGGCATTTTTTGTCTGTCCGTATGTCTGTCCATCTGCGTACGCTCGCTTGCGGGGGATTTGGCTCTCGGACCGTGGGGATCGCGTAGAAAAAAATTTGCCGGGCGGCACGCCCCAGGCCCCGCGGTGGGAATAGGCTATTCCGTTTTTCTATCCCTAAACTTTAAAGTGGTTAAAATCGCGCTTTGGCGCGATTGATCTATATTTATTTATTTATGCCGAGCGGCTCGCTGCTGCGCATGCGCGAAACGCTGACGCGAGTTGCTCCTGGCAACGCACAGACGCCGGAGGGTGGGGGCCATTTCTCATTCGCGTTCAAAATGCACGAAAATGTACACGCGTCGCTGAGGTAAATTCATCAATGTGTAACGTCCTCTTCTCTCCCCCTCCACCCCAATGTGTGCACTTACCATTATAGGCTCGGTAGATACTAAAATTATAGCGATTAAATAGTATTATTGTAGCGCGGGGTGGGGGGGGGGGATAGCGTCCCAGCCCCCAGCCTCGGCCGGCCGGGCAATCTAGGCAAGGCCGGGGACTCTGCACGGGACCAGGCCTCGTCACGGCAATCTGTCAGGTGAGTACTTTGTGCTATAGAGTCGATATATATACTGCTACTAGCGGGGAAATATATTTAAAAACGTCTGAAAACTTAAAAAGATAACATACAAATGAAAAGATAATTCGCCACGCCCGCCGCCTGTAGGGGCGTGTGAATTGATTCACCAGCTTGGTGAGGTATGATCATGGCCGACGTGTGGTGGAGAGGCCTTCGTTCAGCAGTGGACCGACTCACCCACCCACTCACTCACCCACTCACCCACCCACATTGACCAGCGTGGTGAAGTATGGTCAGTACACATTGACCAGGGTGGTGAAGTATAGCCTGAGAGAGAGAGAGAGAAGTTGAACCTTGAAGCCTGGGGCCTGAGAGAGAGAGAAGTTGAACCTTGAAGCCTGGGGCCTGAGAGAGAGAAGTTGAACCTTGAAGCCTGGGGCCTGAGAGAGAGAAGTTGAACCTTGAAGCCTGGGGCCTGAGAGAGAGAAGTTGAACCTTGAAGCCTGAGAGAGAGAGAAGTTGAACCTTGAAGCCTGAGAGAGAGAAGTTCAACCTTGAAGCCTGAGAGAGAGAAGTTGAACCTTGAAGCCTGAGAGAGAGAAGTTGAACCTTGAAGCCTGAGAGAGAGAAGTTGAACCTTGAAGCCTGGGGCCTGAGAGAAGTTGAACCTTGAAGCCTGGGGCCTGAGAGAGAGAGAAGTTGAACCTTGAAGCCTGGGGCCTGAGAGAGAGAAGTTGAACCTTGAAGCCTGGGGCCTGAGAGAGAGAAGTTGAACCTTGAAGCCTGGGGCCTTAGAGAGAGAAGTTGAACCTTGAAGCCTGGGGCCTGAGAGAGAGAAGTTGAACCTTGAAGCCTGGGGCCTGAGAGAGAGAAGTTGAACCTTGAAGCCTGGGGCCTGAGAGAGAGAAGTTGAACCTTGAAGCCTGGGGCCTGAGAGAGAGAAGTTAAACTTTGAAGCCTGGGGCCGCGAGCCTCGCGAAGCCACCCAGCGCCACGGCAGCTTGGCTTGGTCTCTATGCAAGCCCCGGGTCGATGTTGTTGCTACTGCTGCTGTAGTCGTTGTTGTTGCTACTGCTGCTGTAGTCGTTGTTGTTGCTACTGCTGCTGTAAGTCGTTGTTGCTACTGCTGCTGCTGTAGTCGATGTTGTTGCTACTGCTGCTGTAGTTGTTGTTGCTACTGCTGCTGTAGTCGTTGTTGCTACTGCTGCTGCTGTAGTTGATCACACTCGTCATCATCACCACACTCGTTATCATCACTACACTCGTTATCACCACACTCGTCATCACACTCACCATCATCACACTCGTTATCACCATCATCACACTCGTTATCACCATCATCACACTCGTTATCACCATCATCACACTCGTTATCACCATCATCACACTCGTTATCACCATCATCACACTCGTTATCACCATCATCACACTCGTTATCACCATCACCACACTCGTCATCACCACACTCGTCATCACTACACTCGTCATCATCATCACACTCGTTATCACCTGCCGCTGGGAGGCCTATCCACCTGCTGGGAGGCCTATCCACCTGCTGGGAGGCCTACCCACCTGCTGGGAGGTCTACCCACCTGCTGGGAGGTCTACCCACCTGCTGGGAGGCCTACCCACCTGCCGCTGGGAGGCCTACCCACCTGCTGGGAGGCCAACCCACCTGCCGCTGACAGTGGTCCCTGGAGCGTGCTGACGCTCAGCTGATGTGTCACACCGTGGCGAACCCCGCAGCTAACTCATTCACGTGGAGCAGGCCAAGAAACGACATTCCAGTCGTGGGCTGAGCTCAAGAAGGGCTAGCTCGAGCACCATCCTGCGGCGGGGAAAGGAGGCGGTGCAAGCGGCTCAGCCGAGCCTACAACAGCCAAGAATCTGCTGTCTGGGAGAGGGAGGTGGGCGCTGTTAAACCCTAGCACATGGGCGAGAAGCCGTGCATGTGTTACGAGTGCGGCAAGACGTTTTTCTCACGCTCGGCCTACAAGTATATATATTTTTCTATTCCACTTGTGTGTAAATCTGTGTATACCCCGGATATTTTAGAGATTGCAATTCTCCTGCTGTGTGTCCTACTGCTGTCCCTCCCGGCCATATCTAGTGCCACACTCAACTCTACAAACGGCTACCCTCGTTATTTTGCGTCAATACTTGTTGCTCGATTTGCCACTACACCTGCAAATTAAACAGTTCATAGACACTTCTACACTCCATCATTGTATCATTTTAAACCCTATCTTTGTCCCATTACTTCACCAGCACTCCTTCCAAACTTCATTCTGCTCTTAAAAATAACACCATCTGCGAGCTGCTGCTATTTGTCCAAGGTTCGCCGCTCTTCATCCTTTCACAGAAAATACTTATGCAAACTGTTAATTCTACTTTTCTTATTCGTGGGTGGTATTGAGCTTCATCCTGGCCCAAATGAAAAGAGCTCGTATAATTCTGTAGATTTTTCTGGCAGGAAAGGTGTTGGTGTTCTACATGTCAACATCAGAGGGCTTGTGATTAAATTAAGTCAACTAAAACTAGAAGTGGCAAATCTTGATCCGGACATTTTTTGCCTAACAGAAACATTTCTCACTCCTGCCGTCAATGATTTGCAGATTATGATTGAAAACTACAACCTTTTTCGGCTTGACCGAGGATCTAAAGGAGGTGGAATTGCCATCTATGTTCGTAACACTATTGCATGTTCACCAGCTCACTCCTTGTTTAAAAAATGTTGCTTTGAAGGTCTGGCTCTCAGAATAACTCTCCCAAATAATCAACAGTTATTGGTAGTGTGCTGCTATAGACCGCCTTGTGGGAAGGATGTTGAAGCTGCATCGGCACTGAGAGAGCTTTTTGGGGGCCTCCCTAAAGGTGAAATAATTTTAGTGGGTGATCTAAATTGGAATTGGCTAAACCCGCCGGCCGTGGCCACAAATTTTATTGATGAATTTAACTTGTTTCAATTAATAAATGTCCCCACAAGACCCAACCTAAAAAATCCGGGACAGTCAACTCTGCTTGACGTCCTATTGACAAATGCCCCTCACAATTTCGCACTGACTGGTGTTCTGGGTAATAACCTTAGTGATCACTCCTTCATTTTTAGTGTGAGATCATCAGCCAGACCTAAAGCCCCCCCTAAAATTGTTGAGAAGCACTTTTTGAGGCACTTCAGCACTCAGGCATTTACAAATGATGTGCTTCACTCGGATATTGATAAGGTCTGTGATATCCCCAACCTGACTACGGCTTGGGAGACTTTCAGGTACACGTTTCTCCAAATTCTTAACAAACGTGCTCCGTTGGTTAGATTTAAAACTAAAGGCAACCGCCCACCATGGTATGATCCTTTGATTAAAAAGCTCATGAAAACTAGGGACAAGGCTTGGGCATGTGCTCAGAAAAGTAATTTGGTAAATGACTGGCTAGAATACAGGATTTTAAGGAATAGATGCGTAAAAAAAATACAGCATGCAAAAAATGCCTATTTTTCCTCCACTCTCCTGGAATCACATGGAAATGCCAGGATTTTTTGGAAAACAATCAAATCTATCGAAAAGGCATCCAAAATAGAAAATCTGCCCGTTGAGCTTCACCGAAATGGGGAATATTTTTCAGATCCCCCAAAAATAGTTGACAATTTTAACCTTAATTTTTCTAAAGCTGGTAATCTTTTTGATAATGTATTGGGAGTCACCCCTGCTCCTGCAAATTCCTACACCCCTGTCCAAACATTCAACGAATTTAGTTTCCAACCAATCCACGAAAGTAATGTTCTGAAACAACTGTCCTACCTCAAAGGGTCCTCCTCTACTGGAGCAGAT